CTCATTCCACAATTTTTTTTTGGCGTGTCACCGTGTTTAATGGCTGCCTAGAGAGCTATTCCCTCGACCTTAGCATGCCCATGATATCACTTTGTATGGGGATCATCCCTCCCTCCATACGAAGCGGCAACGCCTCCACTAATTACGACATAAGGTATTCGTACGAAATACCCTAGCTTGCCTGGGGCCTATCCGTACACTGATGGTTTCCACCCGCTGTATCCGTACGGATGCTATGTTTAGCGCATCTCGAACGGGGGACTGCGAGACGTCAATATTGAATAGGGGCAAGGCTAGCTAGTAGGCGACAACTGTCTCGAAGCATCAGCCGTACTGCCGTTTTGCCGGGCCCGGTGACAGTAGGTATAGCATGAAAGTTTCCGATCTTGCGTGGACAGCATAGCGCAGCACAGCAAACGATGCATGGTGAGTTGTATGCTAAGGTGCTGCTGTAGTCTGCATCCTGTGGCAGGCGAAAATGGGCTGAGCACTCTTCTATGTAGTAGCCAAAGTACGTCGGGCATTGAGCCTCTCAGTGTGCCCTACGAAGCGACACCAATCTGTCAGTGGTAAATCGAGGCTCACGTCCAATGGTTCCGAAAGAGGCACCCCGTAAGACAGACAGGGCAGACTGCGATTGGGGGCCAAGACTAGCCATCTGCAGATGGATTCAGTGTGACGCTCCGCTTCGCGATGCAGGGAAAAGACCAGAGAGAGTCACACACATACGCGCAGACTCCGCCCCTCTGAAAACAAGGCATCACCACTTACTTTTGCTAGGTTTTTTTTTTTTTTTTTTTTTTCAGTATTCGAAGATGATCATGAACGTCGGGAAATGTGCTTTGGGCCTGGCACTCTTCAGTCTGACAATCATCATGCATATCAGATACTCAAAACAGACAGTTATGACAGAAACTATGCGGTACGCGTCACTCTCGTCCAATAGCCGACATTTCTGAGTCGAGGGAGAATGGAGAAGAGACGCGGGCTCCGACGTGATCAACAACAAAACGAAACAAGTCGAGATGCAGAGGCCAGCTCGAGAACCAAGGACGTGGATCCCGAGTAGGCCGTCCCTCAATGTCTCAATTCTGGTAGAGATTGAGAAGAGTCTCACTCCAGTTTCCATCTCAACAGGCAGTAGAGGTAAGGAACACCACGCTAGAGGGCACCATCGACAGGGCCCTCGGGACCACCTACAGCAGGGATCCAAACCATCGGGGGCAGTGCTGGCCCCTTCCCATTGGCTACTTGCATCGTTCAGCACACCCATCAGACGAGGCTGTCCCCCCTCCAAGTGCCCTGCAAGTGCTCTCCAAAGGGCTCCAAGTGCTACGGAACGGGAACCCCATCACGCTGGATCACACTTTACATCACAGTAAGGTAGGCACTTCCCTGCCCACCCATGTCCTCAGCTATGCTGACATGCATATCCACGCTTCCCACTCTCGTTGAAATTACCCTTTTACTGTCTCTCGAATGCCTTCGTTCCTCGAATTTCCTCGAATTCTCGAAAATAATCCTAAACTCTCGTTCAACGACAACTCGTATTCTTACCACTCCGTTCCTTCGTCTCCGTTACCATTTGTTATCCTGTCCCTCCAATGGGCTAATGATCATACCCATACGCTCTCCGAAGCCGTACCCCTCTGACCCCTAGAACCAGAGTAGGCTTGACTGAGCAAAGAATTACCTCCCTCCCGCGACGACAATCCGTCAGCCATACGCACGATCAATTTGGCCAACCAACACACACATATAGAGGAAAGAAAAGAGGACTTGATCCGGAGGCAGGCTATCAAGCCGCTGCAGCTCGCCCGCCATGTGTCTCTCTGTACGTCTCTTACCATATCCCGTAGGGGTTGTGCGCTCAATGCAAGGCTCCGGCATTGGCAACGCCCGCATATGATGCCTCTCCTGCACTTTCCCAAAGCCTTTGACACTGGCCTCGAGCTCGTGGTCAATCATCGCACATAGACTTACACATCTGGACAGTTCTGGCGCCGCAAGACCGCCCCGAGCAACGAAAAGACACAAAAGAAACGAACCCTCACGATGCCGCTATGGTCCTCCTCCAACAAGACCTCCGCCAACACCCTCAAGAAGATGGTCGGCCTCACCACGATCCTGGCGCCTACACGAGACGGCTTCCACTTCCCACCCGCTCCCCGGCCGATGCCCCTCATCAATATCACAAACGTCGACGGCGCTACGGACCCTTCGTCCTCATCATCGGCCGCATCGGACCCCAAGGAAGCAGTAGTTTCGCCCAGTCCCGATGAGATCCTGCTCAGCCAGGCCATTCGCGAACGTTTCGAGAAGATATTCAACGACCTACGCTCCCGCCGCTCTTCACTATCCCGCGAACCTTTTGTGACCCGCGACCAACTACTCGTATTCCTCGAGAATACTCAGGGCGAGACCGATGTCGAGGCTGTATTGCCTGAGGGTCAGCAACGATACAACTATGGCGAGTTCCTCGAATTGTGGTGGAAAAACTACGGCTGGGATGCCACCCGCCCAATAAAGGAGGAGGACAAGGACTTGAGTCGGCCCATTACGAACTACTTCATCAGCAGCAGCCACAACACATACTTAGAGGGCAACCAGCTTGCCTCCAGGAGTTCGCCCGAGGCTTACAAAACTGTATGTTGTCCTATGCTCGCATTCGCTCAGCAAAGAAACATAACTTCTAACACATGAACTGCAGGTCCTTCGCCGTGGATGTCGGTGTATCGAAATCGATATCTGGAACGGAGACACACCCATCACAACACAAGAGGGTAGCCGCTCTCCCAAACCTGATCACTCGAGGAATCTGTCTGGCTCCTCCCTTCCCAACGTGGCTGCAAGCGTCAAGGAGACGGTGGAAGATCTCCTGATCGAACGCAGCACGAACGGCAATGGCCACAACAGAAACACCAGCACTGCCAGCAAATCTCTGAATCCTCGCGATAGTGCCACTCTACTGGGACCGAGCGAGTCCACCGACTCCCTCGGCAAAACCCTACGGCCCTCATCGCCGACCCCCTCAATGAAGAATCGCCTGCCGTATCCCAAGGATGAGCCCATTGTCACACATGGCTGGACTTTGACAACTCCTTGTGGCTTCAGAGAGGTCTGCAAGGCCGTTCGCGAGTCCGCCTTCGAGACGAACGAATTGCCCTTGATTGTCAGTCTTGAGGTCCATGCCGACAAGGAGCAGCAGGAGGTCATGGTCAGGATCATGAAGGAGGAGTGGGAAGGCATGTTGATCGACAAGTCTTGGGAGGGCATTGATCCCCGGTTCCGCCTCCCCAAGCTCGAGGAGCTCAAGCGCAAGATCCTGGTCAAGGTTAAGAAGGCGCCTAATAAGATTGAGGTGCCTCCCAGCACGACAGCCCTCTCTCAAGTATTTGCCAACGACGAGGACGCTTCGGGTTCCGACGATGAACGCAACAAGGAGGCACCTAAGCAAGAGACACCGAAACCGCCCATGACACCCAAGTTCGATGCCCCGGCCAAGGTCCATAGTGGAAACGAGCCGGCCAAGAGCACAAAGGTGGCCATTTGCCAGGCACTCAGCAGTCTGGCCATCTACACTCATAGCGAGCACTTTAAGAGCTTTGAGACACCGGCGGCTAAGAAGCCGAGTCATATCTTTTCGATAAGTGAGAACAGGATCCTAGAACTGCACACGACCAAGGCCCGCGAGATGTTCACGCACAATAAGAACTTCTTCATGCGGGCATTCCCCAACGGCTCGCGTGTCGACAGCTCTAACCCGGACCCCAGTCTCTTCTGGCGCAAGGGCGTGCAAATGGTTGCTCTGAACTGGCAATATCTTGACGAAGGAATGATGCTCAACGAGGGCATGTTCGCGGACGAGCTGGGATGGGTCCTCAAGCCTATTGGATACCGCAGCACTGACAAGGACACGCTGACAGAGGTCGACGCCGCGCCGCATGGTGACCTGGAGCTCACCGTCACCATCATCGCCGGCCAGCACATCTTTGTCGACGACGATTCTGCCAGCGACAGCAGCCGCGGCAAGCACCTCCGGCCATTTGTCAAGTGCGAGCTTCACGTCGAGATTGGAGCGCAGAACGGAAAGGCTGCGGACGAAGATGACTTCAAGCTCAAGACGGGGTCGAGAAGGACTGACCACCCCGAGTGGGAGAATGGAGCACGGCTCAAGTTCCCCAAGATCTCGAGGGTGGTGGAGGAGTTGAGTTTCCTCAGGTAAGAAAAGTCACGGTTTCCTTTATTTTTTGCTTTCTTCCTCCGGCAGCGGCATGTCTGGGCCTACGGGCCTTGACGATCTTTTGAGAATATGAATCGAGAAGACGGCGAGAAAGATGTGCGCGGCTCCGCGCCTACCCTCCCGCGCGCCGGCGTGTCCGACCTGTAAGACCAGAACAGCTCCGGCGGTGCAACGTTGTCCGAAGTGGTGACGGCTCCCCGACCCCCGGGAATGGCCTGATTCATCCTCGGATGCCATGCCGGGACCCGTTGCCGCTCTGCGTCATAGGCACGAGACGGGAACGCTCGTGGAACGAAGTCGGTCGTCGAGTTGTGCCCCCTTCCATGCCGTGTCACCGTCCCCTTCCCGTCCACGAACCGTTGATCCGTCAATACTCACCTGCCACGCGGGCCGCCGCGTTGACAGCCCGGACCGCCGCACACCGCAACGTTGTTCTTCTTTTCTCCCGCTTCTCTGCATCCTGCGAATAGCCATGACCAAAAAATAAATGAGGATGGTTTTTACTGACTTGTGTCTGAACCGCGCAGATTCAAGATTGAGGATGATCCACTCCTCGGTGGCGACGAGCTTCTCTCGTGGGCATGTATCCGCCTCGACCGTCTACGTCCCGGTTATCGCTTCATCAAGCTCATGGACACCAAGAACAGGCCGATTGAAGGTGGTAAGCTGCTCGTCAAGATCGATAAGGTGGTGCGGTAGAGACCCGCGCGTTCCGTCCGTCTGTCCGTGATATCGTATACCGTACCCGGCCTAGGGGCAGAAGCGAAAATGCTGTAACGCGCGATGTGGCAGACATACTAGCAGGGAAAGCCCTTTTTTTCCGTTTTGTTACCTTTTTCTTTCTCTGGCTCTGCGGATTTCCGCGGGAGGCTCTGATACCTTTTTTTTTTTTTTTTTGCATAACACAGTTGGTGACTTAGGCGTTGACATGGCGTTCATTCGTACTCTTCTTCTTCTTTCCTTTCTCGAGGCGAGCGATACCTATTTCCCCCTGCTACAACCTAGAGTTTCAGGTTTTTTATTCCCTATCAAGCCAGCCACCTTTTTCTTTTCTTCTATAATTTCCTTTTCTTCTGAGCATACACTGTACGCGGCACATTCGGAGAGGTTCCTTCGCGTGTCTCGGGGAGTTTTTCTCCTGTTTTGATCGAGAGGCGAAAACTGAGAATTGGATGAAAAACAACGGGAGAGACAAAAGCAGGTCATCTCAGAGTCATGAGAGGTCATTTCCTTATTTTGGGGGTAGGCGGCGGTGGTGGTTTGAGAGAAGGAAAACCCTTTCTCTTGACGAGGTCAGAAGATCAAGAGACGGGATTATACGCTGGTGGGAAAGGATTGTCTCAAGGTCACTGAGATAAGACACACACACACATGAGAGACAAGACAGGGCGCAAAAGGACGAACAGCACACATACAAACCTACAAACCTGTGGGGCGCCGATCTTGACGCAGAGAAGCGCGGGGCGGGATGGAAACCAAATACCGTACCGTACGTAGTGGAGAGGAAATGAACAATTCCAAGGTATCTCACCTACACATGTAGACTCTGTTTTTGGGGGGCCCATTCAAGACCACAATCCGTGACATGTCGTTGCTTCCGTGTGACCATTCCTGTCTCTTCTGTCAACGACTCCCTCCCTAAACGGTCTCATGTGTTGTCCAACGTGACCGGATCTTGGGGGGGGGGGGGGGGGCACCCTGTTGCCGGCCATCCTGAAGCTTGACCGCCGCCCGCCATGAAAGATATGTCATATTCGAGTATTGACCAACGCGAACTTGTGAGGATGTCCTCCTGTATTGCTGTGTAGCAGTCAAATACGACGGGTTGTCACTGCAGTGTAGACGGAAAGCGGATACCTGCCAAACCCTGTATCGGGACATGCAGGACGAACAATGAATCTCATCAATGGCATGTCGGCCGTATCCCATACCAACCTCTTTTTTTTTTCTGTCTCTTTCTGGCGTATTGTCTCTCTGCAACGGTCATGACCATCAGGGTAGCTGTCGGTTCCCATGGCAGCATGTCGTGGGACCACGAACGAGATTCTTCTTTCCTGCCTCACGTCGCACCTGGGCGGACGTACTTCTTGGTTGTACGACGCCGGGAAGCAAGACAATAGACTCGCGGACCAAGGGAATTCTCTCGTCGAGGTTGAACGATATGACTCTCGAGGCTGTGTAACCTTTGAAAAATGTTTGATGACGGCCACGAGTTCCGAGTTGACGGGGGAATCATACACAGCCACCGGTAGACTCCATTCCCTGCTGTCAACAACAGATGAGAAAAAAAAGACATCTTCCTCCTGCCGCTCTGTTCCCGCTTCTTCGACGGGAGTCGGCCCTCGTTGAGCCCACTCCACCACCCGTTTCCGTGCCAAGAGGACCGACTGCAGCTGGACTTACTGCTCGTAAAGGCAAGGTTCTAGACTGCTTCTGTCCGCCATCATGCGATGGTTGCCTGCGACAAATGAAGGCTCTCATGAACCCCACCAGTACCAATCTCAACCCTGGTGAGGGCTCAGCAGACGACGCTGCAGCCCTGCCCGGCTCTTGCGGCTTGGCACCGAAAGATGCACGATTGGCAACCCTTCCTGCCTGGATATACCTAACCCGGTGGCACCAGTTGTGGGCTGCAGGCTCGGCATAAGAAAGCAAGCCACCGAAAAGAACAGATGAAGCTAAGCGGGAGTGCGTCGATCCCCAGGAAGTCTCAACCCGCTGTGGCGGGCGTGATGGTATAGCCAAAAGGCGAGGTTCCCAGTGTGGCCGTTGGTCGTGAGACAAGTCATAACGCAGAATAAGAAAGATTGTTCCAAAGTTATCCAATGAAGCCATTTCATCTTGCATGTCTGTAAGACAAAAAAGGAACAATGGCCGTCATGTGCAATCATAGCGCCGGACTAGATGGTATCTGGCGCGGCCCGACAGTAGGCAACTTGTCAGTTATCACCGGGGATAGATTTGCCGGTGCGACTGATCCGACCAAGGGGTTCGTCGCGGAATAAGCGGCCTTGGCTGCAGGTTTTGAGTAGGCATCTCGACAGTCCATCCCCTCGAGCCGTCGCGGAGAAGCCAGGGCCAGTTTATGCAACTCGTAGCCATCAGAAGTTGGCCGTCTTCCTGTCCGCAACGAGTACAAATGTCGCCAAATTAAAGTTGACGGTACTATGGCTTGATATTGAGACAGGCGATTGGTGGTTACCTGGCGTTGCGGGAACTAGGGCGGTGTAACAAGGCTATCACCAAGCGCCTAGCCCTCGAGTAACAATAGGAGTTGGTCATGGCAAAGGTGTCCAAAGTACCTAAAGTACGTATGCAAAGCGCAAGGGTTCGGGAAGTGAGACATGCGTTTGTTCTGTCAACTGTGAAAGTCGTTTGGCGGGGGCATCATCGAGATCTCTTTCAATCTAAAAGTACCGTTGGGAATTGAGCCTCTGGTTACTGAATAGTGATGAAGATGCAACAACCCACCATTGCCTCTCGGTTTTGTGACTGGCCATGTGGTACACTGGTCGGGCTGCTGCGGGCGGTTCCGACAGTCTGGTCGACTAGCTAGGTATGCCTGTCGTCCATGAGCATGTCACCGAGGTTTTGGTGTTTTCTATGGAGATGATCAGGAGATTGAGTGAGGGAGGGATCGTTCGTAGATCCGATTGAGCTTCAAAATGGGGCTGACTTGAGACTTGGATCCTGGTCTTGCGTCAATCATTACCTCTTAGCCTTGCCCAAAAAGCGGTTATTACCATGTGTCAGGAACCTCGAGTTCGAGACTTGGAGCGGCAAGCCATCAACTAGGCCATGAATCAGAATAGCAAAACGAGGAGACGGAATAGTTGTAGTCCTTGTTGAGGATCCTGGCGACTATCGTTTGGCGTTTTGATGAGACGTAAGTCCATCGAAACTGAGGCTGCCAAAACAACACGTCTCTCCGGTTGCTTGCAGATGTAATGCAAGTACCCTCACCGCAAGGGACTCGTCGTTGGTGATATGTAGTCATGGAATACGCGAAATAATTGCTGAAAACCTGTTTGTTCTCGTGCTTGGGGCCAGCTCCGGAGCAGTCAATGGAATGTTTTGACAGGCGATACTGGTGCAGCCAAGTTTCCCGAAGCAAGGGCGGTAGATTGAGTAGCTCAGCTGTGCTTGACCTAGACACTATTGGTTTAATGCGATATGCTGGTCGGACTTCCCAACAGCAGAACCTCTCGGAGTTTCGCACATCGTTGCTGCCACATCCTTGCAAGAAGAATATTGTCGCTGTTTTCCATGGTTCCACCATATTTCGAGCGCGACCAGATCGTGGAATTGTTGAATAGTGATTGCGACGGAGAAAATGTCTTTGAATGGGCGGGCAGTGAAGCTCTGCAGCCGGAGATGTAGTCAATGTGACAGATCACTTCCTTCCGTTCGATTGCGCCTCCATGAAATTGGAAGCGGAGGCTGGGACAATGCCGGGCATGTACCGATTTTCGATGAGAGACTGACTGATCGACCGCGCATCTCGTCTACGAGATGACAGGTCACATCGGCCTCTTGGTATGCTTGAGGCCCGCGCAGGAGGTGGGCATTGAGGCTCTCACATGGCCCCCGAATCTGACACTGAATATCAGTGGTGTTACGCACAAAGCTGTCTGCAAGAGTATGCAGGTCGAATGTTGGAGGCGTCGACTGCTAGATGAAGGCCGAGGGACGTGTGTTGGGACATCGGCTAGAGGTAGTGACTACTGACCAGTCGTTGACACTGGTTGGAGGCTCAGAGCGTGCGTGTTGTGTGTTCCGCTAGTGGTGGTCACAAATGACAATAATGATATTTCGCCGAGAACAATTGACACGTCGATTCGCCTGTTGGGCATTTGAAACCAAGATGTGTGAGACATGAGATTGTCTTATGGTGCTCCTGGGTCGGCGCCGGCTAACATTGTCGATTCACATTTCGGTGACGATGGAATCGGGATTTTTGAATCCAGACCCTTCGATGATTATCGGTGAGTCTGCCCACATGCATTTGGAAGATGGCCTGCCATTGAATGGGTCGGTGTGGATTGAGCTACACCTGAGCCAGGGCGAGCCGCGGCACTATACTCACCGATCAACAACGACTTTGCCCCAAGCACAAAGTAGTTGCACACCTTCCTCGTTTGATGGAGGTTTTGGTGGCAATGCCTCCAACACACGGCGGCACGTCTGCGAGAACGGCCGGGACGACAGCCGGAGGCCCGAAAACGTATGATCTCGTGTTTTTCGGCAGGGCTGGTGTTATGGGGTGAGATGCAAAGACGTTGGAAAAGGCCACTACGACGCCACATTGTGTCCAAACCTTGGCACATGTGTCAAACCTCGTTGGCGTCGCTTGGACCAAGGGCGGGCTGTGGTATTACACATTCACTTTTTTTTGCGGCCTCGTATTGCGGCCTCGTCACACCGCGGTAACAACAAGTAGGGTGTGCGCACCGTAGATCGCGGGATGTGATGGCGGCTACGGCTGAACGTCAAAGTCTACGCGGCCGATTACGGTGCGACCACCTGCGAACCAGCTTGCTGGGATGAGGCTAGGCTCCTACCTCTTGCAGTAGTCGGTGAGCTGTGCAACAAACAGCAGCGCCAGGCCGGTAGGTATTGTGGTCGACTTTGGAGAGGGTGTGTTAGGATTGTCCACGTTTCGAGGTGTAAGTCCATCCACTGGAGCAGCGATATCGCGAACGATGAGCGAGATCCCGCTGACTTGGAATTAAACTCCCGTTTGACGAGCAGAGGCGGCGCCAGATGTTCACATTCCCAACAGACCTCCACTTGGGGGACTCTCGTCGTTTCCGTCGAGCCGAGCTGCTCTTTGCCCCTGCTCGCGATAGCTAGGTAGGTAGTTTGTGGGTGCGGGCACGGTGCGGAAGGAACGTTGAGGACACCGTTGACCTCTCAGTCCAACGAGAGAGTCCATGGCCACTTTCGATCGATGCGTAGGCGAGTTGTTGCAGAACAGGACGCTAAGGAGCCTGGGATGAGGAGAAGGGAAAAGAGAAAAGCAATTATGGGCAAGGGAGCCCGTAAGTCCGTGGAGCAGGGACTAAAAGAAGAAAGCGGACTTTTGCGTCGAGTGGAGACATTTGAGTGGGATTTGAACCAAACGTGAACCTTGGGTCCCATGGGAAAAGAAAGAATGGAACGGATTATTCCATCAGAAAAAGAGAATAGAAAAGTAAGTGGGATTTGGCGAAAAGAGAGCAAAGCGTTGCCGCGGCCGGGTGTTTGCAGCAGTGGACGTTGCGGAAAACTCGGAGGGTGGGCCACAGAGGGCATTTCCACGGTCGTACGTTTCTAGGTAGGAAGAAATGAAGGGATAGCAAGGTAAGGGAAGGAAAGAAACCAAACGCAAAAGAAGTCTCGGTATCATTGACATTGAAAGGTAAGGAATGATGTAGTGTAGGGGAAATGGGGACCTGATGTTTGCTAAGGTGGAAGTCTCATTCTCTTGCCGTAGGTAATTGGTTCCACTGCGGTTTGCGAGCCCAGTTTCCTCAGGGCATGCAATCAGAGATAGGAGGAAGGGGGGAAGGGGGAGGGAGCGCAAGGTAAAGAAAAGAAGCAGCAGCTGACGCAAGGAACCACATTCCACGCTTTGAAATCTCGGTAAAACTAAGAAAAAGAGGTTTGATGTCGATGATCGACCCCGGATCGTGGTTTACATTCTTGGAAGTTTGAACCTCGCGCTCGCGGTACGTATAGTACACCCACACTCGTACACACTTTCCCTTCCAAGCTGGTCATTGCAAGTGGAGATACAAGATACTTGACAGAAGCGACGTGGAGGCAAGAGCTCTATGCTGTGACGCAGAAAAGAGGCAGGTCGTATTTTCCTTCTTTCTCAATCTCATGTACAGATATGTGCCCATCGAGGTTGACGGATGTAAGTACCCACATGCAAGAGAACGACTCGGCATATCTGTATGCCTTCCCTTTCTCTTCCCCCTTCCCCTCGTAGGGGTGAGAAGCGCAGAGAAGAAACCCCTCCAGGCTCCTCCTGTGCTTTCTTGGAGATTTGACACGGGGGTCCCTTGGGTTCTCTTGTGGCCTCTCCCTTTACGCTTTGTTACACACGTGTTAGCCCCGCTTGAGTGCATTCTGGGCAGGGCTAGGCAGGAACTGGGGGGCTTCAACGACGACGTTCCTAGTTTGATTAGTGTACGGATACTTCGCAGGTTCTCATATCGGGAGGAGCTGAGCTGAGCCAGAGCGAGACGAGAGAGAGAGAGAGAGCTTGCGCGCTGCATCGGAGCTTTCAGCCCTGGCGTCTAGTAGTTGGGCCTCAGGCGCTTTTAGACGACGGTCCAGATTTCACCATGTGACGGGAATGAATGATGATCAACAAAATTAGGAAAGGCTAGACAGGGCTGGGAAATTCGAACCTGGGGGTGGGTAATGGGCTGGGCTGAGATTCAGACGCAGTAGGCTAAGGTATGGACACTGGTGAGATACGGTCGACCTGAGGTTCGAGATTCAGCTCGAGTCAAGGGCTATCCCCGAAAAAGAATATGGGAAATAACAACTATAAGTTCGGGGCAGTTATTAGTCAGAAGGTGAATTGCGCGAGAGTGACGGAGGGGTAAGGTAGGTACCTCGTAGGCAAAAAGGAAGGCCATCGATCAAAGCGGTACATTGTCGGAGTGCGAAGAAAAAGGTGGGTATCGGATCTGGTAGCATCTTAGCCCTGGCATCTAGGGAAGCAGGGGCAATGGCTTCTGCCTCCACCATCACCACTACTTCCTGACGAGTGACCACCAGGAGTGTGCCGAGGTCGCACAACTACTGTGGTAAGGTAACCTCTATCTACGGACATCGACAACCGCAGCGGT